AATTTTCCACACTCATCTTTGGGCTGGTCCTGGAGCCTTTTTGAAATGTCATTCTTACAGGGTTTCAGTAAAATCCACTTCATCTGGCTCCAAAAATAACATTAGGGAAAATTTTTTGATCACATTATTTGATACTTTTTTCTGATATGTTTGGTTGGGGCTTGTTCTGAGGTTTCTTGCAAGTCTAGGAAATTATATACAAAAATGACATTTAAAGAAGCCAAGAATACAAAATCAAGAACTCAAGAGTTAGGACACCATATTACTAGATTTGCTTGCACCCTAGGTTTTAATGTATTTCATCACAGTTCAGTTACCAGCTCATGCTACCATTTTTGATAGGGCTCAAAGCCTCAAGCATCCCAATGACAATTATGTCTGTTATAAGAACAGGCCAGGGCATTATAAAATAAAAAAAATTATCTCTACAGGTAATAATCTTTGACAAAGTTGAATGACTCAGGCAGGAAGAAAAGCAAGCCAGTCCTGGTTCATATAGCCAAATACTGCACCAGAGAAGAGGGTTCAGCTCTGCTGCTTCCTTGGACTGATTGAGAGCTACTGAGTAAATCAGTGAACACAAAACTTTCATTGCAAATTACTGATTTCTCATTTCTCCATACACAACAGTGGGCACTGGTAATGTAAGACACCAAGGCACTCAAAACCTGGAGTTTCCATGAAACATGAAGTTTCGACGATTGTCAGACCCTAAATGAGAACAAATTGCTATAATTCTGAGTCACCTCACAGCGCCAGACCAGCCCAAAACTTGTGACCTGTACTTCTATGAGCCTCACTTCTTCCCCTGTGAGCCAGGACAACATTTTTCTTTCTCTTTGCAGGGTAACTGTAAAAATACCATGCAGACCCACAACCTTCTATGCATGTATAGGCACATGGAGGTCAGGGAAAGACTTGGGTATTACAGCAGTAAGTGAGTGCAACAGGAAAGCCCAGCAGTAATTATTAATTCCATCTTCAAGCATGGTTTGAATACAGCTCAACAAATGAAGCACGGAAGAATGAGGGCAAGATAAAATATTGAGTAGCTGCTCCAGCATTGTCTGGGCTGTGCTCTAGATAGCACAAGGGTACTTGGAAAAAGCAGAATGGAAACACCTAATAAAGGCTAGACTTTCAGGATTCGAATTCTCAATTATTTTTTTTATAATTTTAATGCAGTTGGATGCAATACTATTTAGAGACACAATCACATTAAGACATGCACATATAGGGAGGTTATACAGGCACATTATTCTACAAGTATACAAACATCTTATCTGCATGCACCAAGACTTTTCTAAAACATAAACAAGCATCTGACATCTAATGCAGCCCTTGATTAGAATTGTGCTCTCTTCTTCATAGACTACCACCAGTAATTATTTACCATTAGCTCTTAATGGGAAGGGATTCAGCTGGGATGTAGTAAACAAGAAAACCGTATGGATTGTTCAATATAGCCTGACTGGCTCTCAGCTGAGGTAAGAAGTGATTGGATCACACCTGGATATTTCAATTCATTGTTTTTATCACCTGGGAAAAGCACCTTATTAACCTGTACCTGTTCAGGTCTCCACCATGTCCATACAGGCATCATACAAGTGCCCCTTCTTGCTCATGTTACTGTGCTTGGAACGCTAAACTGCTGTGGGGTTAAACAACAGATATGACAGAGACCTGAATGATTCATTTAGACTACTGGCATTTGAACTCTGCTATCTTCCTACCTTCCACAGATTTATTTTTATTTTGCAGCAGGGTAAGGGTTCCCTCTTCCCACAACAGAAACATCTGACTGAGACAAAAAGATGGTCCTAGAAGGCAACGCTGGTGATTCTCAAGTAAAGTTGTCATGTGGGGGGAAAAAAAGGGAAAAATCCTCTGTGTGGATTATTTAATTGCTTAAAAAATAAAATAACCCAATGAAAAGGGTCATGGTAAAAGGACTGTGGTATTTTTAAAGACGTGGCCTTTCACGGATATATTTTCTGGCACATCTCACATCATCACCCCACTCCTGTGACTCCTCCACATCAACAGGGGTTATGTGCATTTGCCTAGGGAGCCCCAGCACCAGGGCAGTCCATATGTGAAAGTCAACATTTCTTTTCGTTACGGCACAAAACTGAAGCATGCAACCAGCACATACTGAAAAGGCATTCAAAATATGACAAAAAAATTGTTTAAATGCTTTCAGTCTCTCCAGAAAACAAATGCTCTCTTCACTGACTGGTCTGTGGCAAACTTCTAATTCCAGCCAGAAAATCCAGCATTCCCAGTCCGGGCTAACGACCATGCTACCAGACATGAGTTTATGTTTTTCATGCACATTTCATGTATTCCCACATGCTGTGTTGCTGCCAATAATTTATGACTGATCTGCACCCAGCCTGCCCTTCAGCATTTTATTTAATCTCTGCAACAGTGATTTACAATGACTCATCATTAATACAAAAATGTACATGTGTGTTAACAAGTTTGGAAGAATCTAAGGAGGAAGGCAAATTTTTTTTGTGAGTTCTGGCTGAATGACTTATGAGCCTGCCTAAGAAGGGCAAAACTAACCAGAAATTATATGTTAGCTCTTCCCTGCAGCAAAACATTTAGGTAGGAAGAGTTTCTTGTGCACATTGCTTTAGAAGAAAAGGGATCCAGCAAAATGTTTGAGAAGGTTGCTCCATAGCCCCCAGGATTTGAGAGGGGATGAGTAGCTCTCTGGTCACCTCATGGCTGCGTATTCCCCGTGCAACCTGCACACTCAGCAACAGCTTCACAGTCTCCTTGTTCCTTTGCATCCATTACAAAAAGCAGGGGCTGCACTGCCATATTTTGGCATTTCTGCCCACCACCTGTGATTTAAGAAAGCCCCACCGCCTCTATAGCGTTAAATTGTTGTGCCTCAGGAGAGAGAAGAAGAATTATCTCAATAATTTATACAATTGTAGCACCACAGCAGCATTACAGAAATAGCTCAAGTAGAGGAAGTCTGCCCTACATCCACAAGAGTTGTATTTTGACCTCTTTTTTTTTTTTTCTTTGCACATAAGGAACTAATAAGAACACACCTGACACAAAGCCAAAGTAAAAAGTCCCGATATTCGAAGAGAGACTGGTACTGAAAAACACCCTGGAAAAAAAACTGAAAGAAAACCTACTGAAGGTCACTCTGGAGAAATTCCACCACCTTTAGTTGAATCCATCCTATGTTCATCATCTTGAAAGATTTCTTTTGATGGACCACCCCAAACTGACACATCTGTCCATGCTGAATCCTGTACTCCCAGACCCCGCAGGAGCAGCACACCCGTTCTCTATCCCATCGTTACACAAGACCCTGATGAGTACACACAGCTTCTCAGTGGCCCAAAGCACCCACTGAGACTGAAACTGAAGGACAACCCTACAAACTAGGGTAACACCTGGATAGAGGCTGGAGAATGTAAAGTTGAAGTAAACACTAATGTCTTCTGGCTGAGCCAAAATACTGTGGGTTGCACTAACTTGTACCACGTAAATTTTATGTTTTATGCCTTTTATTCCTCCATTTTAAATTAAGTATGTTTGAAACATACTTCATATACACTAAGTATTTGGTATTTTCCTTTATTCAGCATCTTAAAGGGCTTCAAAAAATTGATCTCCTAGGGCTGCTGTGGGGTCACAGAAATTGATAACCCTTACAAGCTATGCTTATGTGAGCCCGCCTGCGTCTCCCAGATAGTGCACTTTGTAAATTAATCCTCCAAAGGCAAATATATTGTAAGTAGCTTGTTATCTCTAAAGTACTAAATTGAAGAATACATGGGATTATATTGACAGAAATTACATTTTCTGTAATGGGGTTTAATATATCTGAAATCTCTCCCATAGGCTCCTACACTCTCTAAGAGAGGAGGGTTTGTTAATGTAGGTGCAATGGACATCAAGACCAAATTTATTCACTAAAATGGATTAGGCCATGTAATCAGAGCTTCAGTAATATTAATCTCTGACACTTATTGAACAGGAAAAAAAAAACCAACCAACTTTTGTCTGCAAACTGGCATTCCTCCCTCGCTTTTCCCAGCAGGCTTGCTGTTTGCCTTGACCATTTTCTGGGTATTACTTCAAAGAGGATAAGGTTTCCCATCATAAACACTAATCTAAATATATTAGGACAATTAATTAGATACACTTAGTTTTACAAGGTATTAGATTGCAGTACACTTCAAGTATGACACTTGTTCTGGGATAGTGGGAGGAACCCACATTTTGACGCAGTATCAAAGGGTAATAAATCAAATTTTTTCAAAAGAGGTTTCCTGCTGCATGATACTTCAATCATGGGTAATTTTCACTGGTGGCCTTCACCACACCCTGAGCAGTTAGCAACCCAAAATCCACTGCAGAAACAGCACAGATCCTGACTTCCTTCAAATGAATCACTACTATATAACAGAGCAGGGGCTCCACCAACCCTTAGCTGGAACAAATAAATAAAGTTGCTCCACACTGTACTTCGGCAGCAAAGAACCAGATTGTCCTCAAAGTTTATCCATAAACTGGATTTTGAAAACAAACTGATAAAGAGATTCAAGGGTGTCAGTCAAAATGAAAAACCTCTCTAACTACACTATAAAAATCATGACAGCAACCCCAAATAACAATATGCTCAGCAGAAATGGGACCAGTTGTCCCTGTTTTGCTCCTGACATCTCAATCTCTTCCAAGACCAATGTCCTGCAAATGGATGTGGACCATTGAAGAACAGATAAACTCAGCCAGAAAGAGGACTGGTATCAGATATGAATACACTTGAGATCTACCCAAACGATGGGAAAATAAAATACCGTAGCAAACCTCATACTCTCTACACCTAAAACCACTCACCTGGTTATATCCCTTTTGTATCAATAAACTTTTGGGGAGGGAAACAACAAGGGCAAGGTGTGTCCCCAAAGGAATAGCCAGAGGGTGCCAGTGGCCATATAGAAACACTAAGGAAAATTACTTACCAATTGTTCACTTGAAGTATAGTGAGCCCTGTGTCTTGTGCCAACTGCTTTTTCTGCTCTTCTGAAGGGTAAGGGTGCTATAAGACACCAAAATAAATACAAACATTTAAAACAATGTGCTTTTTTTTTGCCTACCTCTTATTTTAAATTAAAAAAAAAAATACAAACCAAAACAGAAGCATGACATCTATTATTGAAAGGTGAAAATGGTGAGGTGTGTCACTCTTTTATAATTATTAATGGGCTACTACATCACTTAATTAATGGCAGTAAAAGACAAGCTAATTATAAAGATTAGTGAAGTGGAGAAATAACTGCTTAGGTTACTGACAGTACCTTGATACTTGAGAAGGATATTTGTTGCATTAACTGAAAAATTTTTGTACTTGTCTTGAATGACCGATTAGAGTCAAATAATCTATTTTTTCTCTGTTTTTAACTGAACAACAAAGAATGTGATAAAGAGCTTCTCTGTAAAACTGAAACACACTGATGTTTTCTGAGATAGTGAAGGCAAAACTTGCCAGTGTCCCAAAATAATTTGCAAATAAGATCAGCATCCTGAACATAAACAAATGCCTGTGTTTTGAACACAGGCCAATGCAAGGTCAACAATCAGCACATTTTTGCCTGACATTAGCATAGCTGTGCTGAGCTAATCCTAAGAGACAGAAAATAAATACTCCTTTAATTGAAGATAATGTTATAATTCAATCATAAGTTTCTTGTGAGAACTTGATTTGCTTTCTCAGAAAATTCGCTTCTGTATGAATACAGATTGCTTAATAAATCAACAGCAAAAACCACAACCAAGTCTGAAATGTAGAAATATCATTTCTGTCCTTCCCATCTATGCAAAAATGTCACTGCCACAAAAGAGAACGGCCAAATACTGCAAATGTAACAGTTTCAAGGAGAAGCCCTGTTTCAAGAAACTGGTTCAGCTCCCAACCTGGATGCCCAGGTCTCAGTACATATCTAATTCAGATCTGGACTGCTGCAAGGTGCTTAGCAGCATTTCAATAAAGGTCATTTGATATAACTGGTTAGTCCTATCCCAATACTATTTAGCAGCTGATAGTCACAAAGTATTTACTGTTACACATTCATCCATTTTTTTCCCCCCCAAAAAATTCCCTTATTCTCTGGATATATTCTTCAGTGTAATATTACATGAAACTGAAACTGAAACTTTGCGAAGCTTAAGAATTTAAAACCTCATAAAACCCCACAATCTTATTGGTATTATAGCTATTTGGCAGATTTTACATATTTTTGTAAACAGCATAGTCTAACTTCTCATGCCTATGTTACATGCAAGTATCACTTCACATTACCACAGAGGAATTTTTCTTGGAATTTCAGCAGCTTCTCTTAACTCAATATATCAGTTTCAAAGCCCACCACCATGGCCATCAGCTCCAAAAGAGACTTTTTATCTTTTTTCACCCAAAAATGTTGAGGAATTTTTAATTATTTTAAAAGTACTGTTCTCTTGGCAGGAAGCTCACAGATGACCTGCACACCTGTAGATCACCCCTTGTATTTTCTGTGTGCACATGAAACAGCTCCAGAATTGTAAAGTAAAAAACAGAGGGAAAGAAGTGTCTTCTTTTTATGGGCAATTTGCATTTTACGCATGCAAAAATGCAGCATGTATTTTACCGTCTGCCTTCTACACACATTCATCCACAACAGTCATACTCATGTCCATCTATCTGAACACAACATTTTTCTTCCCTTCAATGAAAAAACTCCAAACCCTACAGAGATCATTTGTAACATTTTCATCTTTACAGCTTACTTCTCATTTCATTACTTTGCTATCAAGCGAGGACAGAATTATCCTTTTTTTTTTCTTATTTTGCTTTGCCACCTTACATGTGATCTAATTTTAAGTAATTGAACAAACTGTGTCTAATTTCATGCAGCAAGCAATAATTACTAGACAGCCTCTAGCTATTGGAATTGAGAAGTCTGTCTCCATTAAGCAATTTTCAATTGTTCTGGACATTTTTTTTTAATAGACAAGACTGGATAAAATTAGCCATCAAAATAATATTGTCACTGTAAAAATAATTACTTTAAAAGTCCCAAACTACAAATTCCTCAAATTGTGGTAAGTCTAAGGTCATCTGATTTTTTTTTCATACCCTCGTACAGCATAAACTTTTAATTTCATGATAAATCTGTAATTGCCATAATCACATGACAGCCTGGGATTTCACACAGCTAATCCCTCTTAGCTAAAGGGTCACAATGCGGCAGGCTTTTTAACTATGCTTCGGTGTGGTTTAAAGTAATCTTAAACACTAAGCAACATTATTATATAAGCTTTCATATGAGTTTTTCCTTTGTAGCCTAAAAATAAAATAAAATAATAGAAATGACTTGACAAAGAATCAGCATGCCACAGGCTAGGTTGCTATAAAAACATTCAAAGCCTTGTTGCATTCCCACACACAGGGCTTGGAAGGCCTGTGCTACAGGCAAAGGCAGACATCACATTGCAACAGAGAGAAAGAGGGAAACCCTGAGAACTGCCATTTTATGAAGGAATAGGAAACTCAATCAAAACTGTTGCTGTTGGTCTTTACCCCACCCACACAAGAATGACCACTGTCTTCTGAAAATTGAAGGAATATAGACAAATGCAGATAGATATGGATTTATATCTATAGTGTGTATAGATAATATTATATTTGTATGAATATGTATAAAATATATCTTAGTCAAATGGTTAAGTTTAAGGTAGTCGTGTGAAGAGGATAAAGTTGGATTTGGTCCTTATGGGTCCTGTCCAACTTGAGATATTCCATAATTTTACTAAATATATAAGGAAGAATTACTAAAACCACTGCAGTGACCCCAGCTGACAAGTCCACCTATTACTCTGGATCACTTTGGGATATCAAGGCAAACTGTTCAATAAACAGTGACTTGAGACCTTTACTTTGTTGTGTACATTAGCTCCTACCATTATCTCTTAAAAGCTTAATTATTTGCAAACAATTGATCAAGATGGGAATTGGAGAAAAGAGACACTGGACCACTGGGAGAGCTGCAATGCATTAGGAGAGCAAACAGAATTACCTTTAGGTCTTATAATAAGAATTAACGATGGGGACCGTATGCAGGGCAGCATGAGAAGCTGTAACGCTTATGCTGGACTGTTTTCCATTTGATCTGCATTAACACCTCCAGTGAAAGCCATAAAACAGTGATTACAGAGGGGAAGGCTGACCCTCCTTCCCAGAACCAGCCCAGCTTGTGTATACTGGAAGACTGCAGACAGGCTTTCCTGCCAAGGCCAGAGGAAAAGGGTAAATCCAAGGGGAAAAAGAAGTAGAAAGCAGGCAGGTTAAAAAAAAAAAAAAACAAACCAACAAAAAAACAAACCAAAACCAAAAAAAGGGCATTTAAAGAAATAAGGCTGACAACAGATAAGGGCTCTGAATTTGGCTGTGATATTTTCTGATCAAGCCTGCTGCTGTTACAGAGCCACAGAGCAGCATTCACTGAATGATATGAGACCTTGTGTTTTTCCCTTTCCATAAATCTAGCACTGAAATGTGGATTGTTTGGCACCATTAATGTGTTTTTGAGGCTCTGTGGTATTACTTTTAATAATGACTTAGTACAGAAAGTGATTGCTTAATAACACCATCAAAATCTGCATGCAAATGAAAATTATCCCTGGGGGATTTGCCCAGGGTAATATGAACAGTTAAGGAACATTTGAAAAGGTAAAAATAACTATGCAAAATATGAGTCAGAGCAGTCATTTTAGCAGTAACAAAGAAATCAAAGTGACAGAGAGAAAAATTTAACTTTCCATCATATTTTCTCATCGCTGTTTTATGAATGGTATTTAGCGAGCAGTAGCCTTAGTAAAAGTCCATTTTTTAATGCAGCTTGAAAGAATTTTCAGCAAAAGAAACTATAAGATTTTGTTTTTAATCACCTTTGACTACAGATGGTGGGTAAAGTCTCCATTAGGTACAGATGGAAAGCATCCAAGGTTGTCTCTTAATGTTACACCTTGTCCAAACGTACTCCTCAAATTTTCTACCCCAGGCAGCAAATGCAGGATGCCAGGACAGCGACAGACTTTATCTTATCTGTAACCCGGCATCGACAGCACTCCCTCCCCTCCTCCTCTGCGACAGCAGTGCATCATAATAGTGCCGGAAAAATGGGAAAATAATCCTGCCCTTCTCACCCCTCAGATTACTAATTCCTCACGGCACCGAACCGGCTCAGCACCACGGCTGCCAAGCAGCTCTGCTAGAGCAGCGAGGCAGCAGCAATCCCGAGAGAAAGGCGGCATGTCCTGCTAGGAGGAGCCTGTGGCCGCCATCCAGCGCTGCCCTGATCGTGGCAGAGCCGTGGCTTGGCCGAGCCGTGCCGGGACAGCCATTTCAGAGCCCCTTTATCCCCTTCCTCCAGCCCTCTGCCTCCTCCGGAGCCCAGAGCACTGCACCAAGGTGAGCCGACCTTGAGCTAAACTCTGCGAGGTGATGAAGAGAAATCACCCCCTTAAAATTTATGCCCCAGGAGTGTTTATTACTGTTTTCTAACATCAAAAAAAATAAAAAAGAAAAAAAAATCCCAACACTGTGATTTTCTTGTTTCTGAAGAGAAACCCAGCCTAACTCAGTATCCAGAATAAAGCCCAAGGATCAGCCCTCCAGTGACAAACTGTACATTGACTTTATACTGAACTCTAAATTCTTGCTTTACTTAAACTTGTCCAGGGTTAGCTAAGGTGGCAGCACAGCCATTCGGGTCTCTCCCCTTCCCCAACCTCCTTTTTTTTTTCATTTGAACTGTTTACATTAATGATCAAGTTGATCTACGAGAAATTACTATTTTTTTTAATATCCATAATGCTTTCCTATTGTCTCTCAGCTTTATGAATTAGTTTTACTGTTGCAGTGAATGCTTTTTTTGTCTCCTGACTGCACATTATCAAAGGGACACTTTGTGCCTTCCATTTGCATTACAAAAGCAGTGCATGGTGTAGTCTAAGAACAGAGCCTGAATTTATAGCAGTCGAGTCCTAGATCCTCACACA